AATTAAAAAAAATGCTTTCAGTTTTTAATTCCGTGCACAATTTCAATTTTAATTTTAATAAAAACTTACAAAACAGGTTTTAATCAACTTTAAAATATACTGCAGATTTTAAACATTTTTGATAAACATTTACCATAAAATATAAACTAAAGAAAAAATCTGTTTTTTGAAATCTCTCCGAATCCGTATGGTGATATTTGTATGCTGAATTTTGTAGACTTTGTGAAATGCAAGTAAAAAGCATTTCTAAAAATTTTGAACTGAAATCAAACTTTTGAATAACTTACAAGCAAAACCAGTGAGTGAAAAATAATTAAATAAACAATAACAACGGAAAATTCAGCAAAATAAGTTGCAGCAGAATTATAGTGTTTGAGTGGAGAGAAGCTTACAAAAATTTCGCAAGTTGCTGTAAGTAAAAAAAAAAATAATAATTTAAAAAAATATAATTTTTTAGTTTGGTTATATTATATATTTTTTTTATTATTTTTTTTATTATGTTTATACAACATATATATAAATTAAGAAACTGCACATAATGTTTTATTTGTAATGTAATGGATTTTACTAATTTGTGTTTGTAATTTTTTTTTAATAACAAATAGAAGAGTTTTTATCCACTTTTCAATAAAACTAGTAGTCTTTTAATTTGTGCCGAATTTTTCATTCATTTCCCTTCATTAAATTCTTCACTCCTTCTTTTGTAACGTTACGACTTGCCTTAAGATAGTGTTTTTTTTTTTTAAATACGTCGACTTTTTCGGCAACTCGATGATCCGTTTTTAAGTTCCGCTTGATAATTGCACAAAATGGACATTGTTGTTCTTCAACAAAGCCAAAGTGGCTACATCGGGCTAAAATTATGTTGACACTATGTGTTTTTTTTTTTTTTTGAAATGGTATAAGGCGCGGGTTTAGACACATTCTCCGTAGACTTGTTTTCCCTAAGTATTTTTACTTGTCGTTAAGTTTATTTTACTAATTTCTTTGAATCATGGTAGCAGTGGTTGTACCTTTTTCGCCAAATTTTTT